ACCGAAATCCCATCTGAGACATCCACCTGACTTCCCCTGGCCAGTGCACGGCTCACTTGATACTTTGAAGCAAATTGTGATGTCCAACTTGCAAGCTGTGCAATGGATGCAGGGATTCATCAATAGTCATCCAGACTTTGTATATTAAGCATCGCGTGCTAGATGTCAAATCCGCCACCGTCATCTTACAAAACTAGGGGGTGCTCTGGTACTGAATCCCACCTGGTAGGGTGAAGGTGTACGTTCAGCAGGTACTTCTATCTCATCCGCCGGGAGCGGTCCCTGGCGTCGAGCTCTCCCCCCTTGTAACCATGGAGCACATCATCTGCAACTATCAGCTATCAGAACAGCATGTGGCTATATGTCAAAATTGGGTACCCTAATAATTACATGGTCAATACATGGTCAATACATGTTAACACTAAACATATACAGTACTAAAATCTCTGGTCCCATAGGGCTTAGATTTTGACCCATCCCCATGCTCCAAAAAGACGTGGTTCATCACGCGCCTCAAAGCCCGCATGCGTGTTGTGGTCTAGAGCCTGGCTCGGTCCAGATCTGGTTCCACCCTGGGTAAGGTGCCATGAAATCTAGCTTAATCTGGGAAAATCTGCGGCTTAACATAGGAAAATTTCCATTTACAAATGATGAGTAATTTATGGTTGGTAATGTGTTGTGGTATGTTGTGGTTGGTGTATATTGGCTAATATCCTGATCAATTACAATGATGATGAGTCACCGGATTATCATACATGCTTGACTTGTCACTTTTTGTAGGTTGGTTCTCATGGGGGTTCCCACTTCATGGATTATGCAATGATCATCACCAAGATATAAAGAAGGGTCCCATGATGATCAACCAACGCTTTCTTCAAACCGCTGGAATGACCTAAAGACACTTCCAAGTCCCAATATGTTCAAAATATGAAAATGTCTGGGTCTGGGTATACGCCTAGTTGCAGCCATTGAATGTGATTAATATTGATTAATCACTTAGGGTCCATGCCCAGCAGCCTTCAGGAAGCCACCGGAACGTTTCTTCTTCTCCAGAAGGAGGTGGTACGTCGTGGTGACATGGTTGTGCTTCCCCATCTCCCTGGCAGCAACCCCAGGTGCTCACCGACTTTTCCGGTTCGAAGTGATCAGGATCAAAGCATGGGGTATACCGTTGATCAACTGTATACCCCCAAATTATGGCCAGCTTAGTAGGAAAACTATGGAAAACTGACGGTCAGTTGATCTTAGCGCAGTTCCAGGGCGTCTGCGGGAGGACAACTGATGGTAAACCATGGGATTTTGCAGTACGATTTTTCAGACGGACATAAATCTATCAAGATTTGGTCTGCAAATTTCCAGGGCGACGTTCAAAGTCAGTTTCCGAAGTTCAGCCAGAGCCACAAGCACTTGGCTGCATAGTCTCGCGGAAAACCAAAGCGATCCAGCTGATCCAACCTCGAACGTGGCTATAGGCGATGGTTCTAAATTGGGGTACCAAAAAGCATGGATGATTTGGATGGAAAGGGATGGATAGGAATAGCTCTTATTTCTAAAAGTGACAGAAAAATTTGTGCTTCCTTGGGTCTGATTGTTTGACCTACATCTTGACGGTAGGCTGGCATGGCTGATTGAAAACAGGGGGACTAATGACTGCAAATGTTCAACCAACAGTCCTGCACCGTGGACATAAGGTTTGTGAAAGCCAGTTCGCATCAATTCGCCAGCTGTTGACAAAGGGGTTTTTTTAGCAGCGGTTGGCTAGTTCCCGGGATTTTGCTCAAAAGTACGGGGTGCTTGGTGAAAAGATGTTGCCTATGGCAAAGGGGGTTGTTCATCGCCAAGAGGTATTGTGGTGAGGATTTGTGACAAGGTCCCCTCCGGCAAATGATGAAAAGACTTCTGACTTTGTCACCAAGTTTGTGAACATGGGGGCTGCGACAGGGAGCTCTATCTTTTTTTCCGGCCGCAAATGTGACAAATCAAAACAAAACAAAAGCGACACTTGGCTGTGCCAGTTGGCCTTGTCCAAATATAGGGTACCCCCTGATGGTTTATCATCAGCTTCCCTACTATTTGATGGCCACAACTGGGGAACCCATGGGAACCCCATTCGACACACCCAATTTTCCACAAATCTTCGTCCAACAAGGGCCCCCAGCACATCATCTTGCAGGATTTTGCCACCTGCCAGGCCTGACGAGGTCATTTTGCATCCGCCACAATGCAGGGCCCCCAGATGGCCCAGCGCCATGCCTGCAGAGAGCGAGGCTTCCGGGATCTGCCGGTACCTGGAGAAATTCAGGAAGCAACTTCAAAAAACAACAAGCACAACTACCTAAAGAAAAAAATCTTCGAATCAGTTTGAGTCATGTGTTTTCAAGTGTCTCCAACCACCAACCTTCCGGCAATCAAACATGGCGTGCCGGGAAATCCTCCATTTATAGATGTTGTTCCCAGCTGTAAACCTGGATGTATAATGATTTATAGAGGATTTTGACTTTTCTGTATCAACATTTGCCCTGAAGGTCACCAAGGATGTGTCCTGATCTTGGTGATGGTGTAGCGAGTCTCCGGGTCGGTGTTGAGCATCCTGCTGTCGGATCTCATGAATTTCGCTGTGAAATGCTGCGGAGTATACAACCTCACAGCATCCTCAGATGCTTCTCAATGCTGTTCTAGGAGGGGGGTTGTGAAATCTTGGAACTCACCCAGAGTAACGAAAAAAATATGATCACGTTGCTGCATCATGTCACGATGGCAGCTTGAGTCACCGCTTGCCTTGAAATGAGATCTCGTACACCATCGGAGATGAACTTTGGCGCCTGGGCCACGCTGCCAAAAACATCAGCAGCCAGCTGCACACCAGCACCACATGCCCAAAATATTCCTATGGCATCTATGGCATCTATGGCATCTATGGCATCTATGGCATCTATGGCATCTATGGCATCTATGGCATAGATATTCCAATTCACAAGCCAGCAATTGGAAGCCATTCTTCTATGGCACAGTCAGGTCATTCATGGGGATTCCGTGGCCCCCAATGGATCCGAAAGATTTTTCCCTTCCAGGTGCCTGGTAGTCGGCGTTCAGAATCTTGCGGTACAACGCCGACGTGTTTTGATCCTCGAACGGAAGATAGCCACCTGGAAGAGCTGCAGCCACAATGGCTGGGCTACCCCAAAATCATCCAAAATGCAATGACTGATATTACTGTAGATGATGTATGATTTGTATGATGATAAAATCATCCAAAATCCTATGGTTTATATTTGATAATTTTGATATGATTTGATTGTGATCATTTTGACATGTTTCATTGAAACGGCTATGCCTTTGAGGGCAGTCAATATCCACCACATCCTGGGCTTCCCAGCACACCAAGGCGAACAAGATCACCCCGCAGCTCCAGACGTCACACCTGGAAGGAACCTGATGGCTCCGTCGGGTGCATCACTCTTGGATCGCTCGGGTGTTTTCTCGCTGAGGTCATGACATAACGTTGACCGGCCACCATCTCTGGGGCTGCGTAGCACGGTGAGCCACAGGCCGTTTTTAAGAGTTGACCATCCTGGTGTGTGGCGATCTGAAAAATCGCTGCACTGCATCCATCTTCTGGGAATGGAACATCGAAAACTATTCGCATAGTCTTCCTTGCATTTTCATCCAGCATGTCAAAAAGCCACCAGTCAACCAAATCCCATTCATGTCGGGATGAGTTTCCGGTACACCAGTTTTATATCCCCATCTATTCACAAGTATCGCCATCTTATCTATCCCCAGATCTTGGGCTGCCTGGTAGGTGTTGCTCAAGCCGAAGTCTACGATTTTGATGTTCTTCTGCTCATCGAGCAAGAGATTCTCAGGTTTCAGGTCACGATGGACCACATTCATCCTCAGCTGAAACACCGAACGCCACGGCTGAAACACGAAGGCGGTGGAAACGTGGACAATTACTTTTCCATAGCGAGCTGAATTAGAAAAATCATGAAAGGAACAACATGTTCATTAGTAGTGGAGCAGAGTAGCGTTAAAGGGCTGCAATTTTTGCCATGGGTGTGTTTTGTTGTGATCTATTTTTAGAGTGTAAAGAATTTTGAGCCGTGCACACTTGGGCGCGTCTGAAACTGGGGTATACTGGTATACCGTTACACCCATAACATATTGCAATTTTAATAGGGCAAAATGAGGATTGACCCGTGGATTTTGGGGAGGTTCCCGTTTTCCCCTAAAATTTCAGACAAACCCCTTTGGTGATCCAAGCTGGATTTGCATTTTGGACAAGGTTCCGATGAATCTGCTCCACACCAGCCATGATCTGGTGGAAAAAGCGAGATGCCTCTGGGAACCCGTCGTCTTTGAAGGGAACAGCTGTAAGAATCAAAAACTCACATGGCTATGAACCAGACCCCTGGTACCCCCGGGTTTTAATACCAAACTAGCATAAAACAGCTGGTGAATGCTGGTGAATGCTGGTGAATTGATGTCCATCCATTCTGATCCGATCGGTAGGGACACATTCCCCAGATTCCCCAGTGGATGATCAGCCCCAAAACTGCCTCTGGCTCCTTCACTCTGCCCTGCTCCACGATGTGGTCGAATAGCTCACCCCCAGGGCAAAACTCCATAATGAGATACCTGGAAGAGCCCGGTGCTATACCAAGCTGCCTACCATTGCTGGGAACTTGGAGTTTCCGTTCGCTACTTCAACCATCCGCCTACCGGGGCCTACCGAACCTGGCACTGGAAAATCCTCCATGTCTAGATGGTTGTCCTATTCAAAGGACGTGGATTTCTGCCACGTTGGATTGCTAGAGGGTCTGTGTGTGTGCATACGTACATATATGTACGTACATGAATGTATGAATATATATATATATATACTGGAACTGAAAGCCGAATATATCAACTGAATTAACGTGTTGGGTGTTTTGTGACTTTGTGGGACAAGAAATGATTTCAACAACAAAATGGGGCAAGTCACGGCCCTAACGGCCCTAACTTCCTGGCAAGTCACAATTGCCGAGGCGTCTCGATGATCTCATACAGCTGAATGATGTGCGGATGTTGCACCAGCTTCAAGATGTGGATCTCACGGGCCACACGTTCCACATCGGCCACATCCTCGGGACTGAGTTCAAATAGCTTTAAACATAAGATAAAATTGTGGGTTGAGCAACAAAAATTGAGATTTCACATGATTTCACCATCGAGAATGGGGGGTTTCACGGTTTCACCATCAAAATTCCCAATTTAGCTCAGGGATCCGTTCAACACCAGAAGAAAGGATCGTGTTGTTTCTGTGCTGATCATCTCCGATGCCCTAAAACGTCCATCTGAGGTGACAGCAACAATCCTCTCTTTCTCCAAGATCTTCACAGCTACCTGGAAATTTTCGGTCAAATCCCCCGAATGGAATGTTTGTTAGTTGTGTTGTATATAGATTAATATCCATAAATGGGAAATTGGAGATATGTATATATATATTATGTCTATATATTACTTACTGCTTTGGCCTCTTTCTGTGTTAGGGGCCATAGCTACCCAGGATCTATTTGTAGAATCCTAGGAACTATTTACAGAATCCCAGAAACTATTTATAGAATCCCAGAAGCTATTTACTGCATTATACTGATACTGGCGTTTTTTTGTTTCCAAACTCCTGGGCCTATTTTAAAAAAAGAAAAACATAGTGAGGCCAAAGCAGTCACCAAACCATCTGTCTACAATAATAGTACGCTTATGGGTTTTGGGCCAGTGTTTTAAGCTACCCCGACTTTTGGTGGTTTATTATTGAATATATGATTCCAATACTCTAAGTTTAAGACCACCAGAAACAATGGTTAGTTCATTTAAGTTTTGCACATATTTTGAAGATATAGTTGAAAATGTAGCTATGGCTAATGACCAAGTAACTTCTGGAAGTTCAGAAGTAGAACATACATACTTGATAACTATATGGATCAGGATGGTTTGGAACGGTTCCCATCTATCTCTAAAATCCTGTATGTAGTTACACATCCAAGTTGGTAAATATATCAGAACGTCTTGGAACGGTTGTGATTTATTTATCCATCCAAGTTTATAAATAGATCAGAACGGTTTGGAACGGTTCCGATCTATCTATAAAATCTTTATGTAGACAGTCTTGCAGATAGATCAGAACGGTTGGGAACGGTTCCGATCTATTTATGCATCCGTTTTTATAAATAGTTCGGAACGGTTCGGAACGGTTCCGAACTATTTATAACCGCTTCTGTTTATAAATAGATCAGAACGGTTCGGAACGGTTCCGAACTATTTCTACATTCGTTTTTATAAATAGATCAGAACGGTTCGGAACGGTTCCGAACTATTTATACATTCGCTTTTATAAATAGATCAGAACGGTTCGGAACGGTTCCGAACTATTTTTACATCCGTTTTTATAAATAGATCAGAACAGTTCGGAACGGTTCCGAACTATTTATAAACTCGGAACTATTTGGAACTAATTGGATCTATTCTGCTTTTTTCGTATAAATAGATCAGAACGGTTCGGAACGGTTCCGAACTATTCATAAAATGCGACGTATAAATAGATCAGAACGGTTTGGAACGGTTCCGAACTATTTATAAACCCTGTACGTTTAAATAGATCAGAACGGTTCGGAACGGTTCGGAACGGTTCCGAACTATTTATAAACCCTGTACGTATAAATAGATCAGAACGGTTCGGAACGGTTCCGAACTATTTATAAACCCTGTACGTTTAAATAGATCAGAACGGTTCGGAACGGTTCCGAACTATTTATAAAACCCGTAAACTACACAGAGTTATAAATAGATCAGAACGGTTCGGAACGGTTCCGATCTATTTATCTATTTATTACCCCTGTAAAGTACAAAAAGAATAAACAGCTCAGAACGGTTTGGAACGGTGTCGATCTATTGTTAATCTTTGCTGCCTTCTCAACTGTTTCTAAATCCAAAATCAGAAATCAAAACCAAGAACTAACCCAGCTTAGCCCAGAAAAAGCGAGATCCAGGATATGATATGCGGACCTATTACTCATTTACAGTTTTTGCTGAACCTGCGTGTGAACTGAACACAAATCAAAAAAATGATCTTCAAACCCAATCGGCCTTCTGTCAGGTTTGTCTGTTGGTCAGTGGTCAGTCTACCTTTTTTGGGGTATTTTTAGTAGATTATGCAACCAATATCTGCTGAGAAACGACCAAAGAAACAAATTGAATGTCCAAAATCCCTCAATCTGCAAAAGGTTCATGATTTCCGGTTCGGTGTCCGAAAGTTGGGTTTTCTAGTCAAACGGTCGACCCGAACTTGTCCCGGCAGTACTTGACAAAGTGCTTGCTCTAGCAGCGACGGTGGAATGTTTGCAGATATCCTTTCTTGGGCTGGGGTCCGCTAAGATGATCTACAAATAGTTCCTGAGATTTTACAAATAGCTCCTGGAATTTTATAAATAGTTCCTGGAATTTTATAAATAGTTCCTGGAATTTTATAAATAGTTCCTGGAATTTTGCCATTCATAGCGAATAGAAACTCCAAAAAACCTGTCGCCGAAAGGGCGACGACACCCTTCTCGGCAATCCGAAACCTCAAAGTCCGGAAAACCTGTCACCGAGAAAGTTCTGGCGGCCATGGTCCGACGAGGTACCAGATACCGAAGTCTTAGGTTGCAAAAACGAGATTTTCGATTTCAGGGGCTGCCTCGAACTTACAGCATCTTACAGCCAGAATCGGGTGATTGCTGTGGCCTCTCTACCTGGAATCTCACAAGCTACAAGATATGGTGTCCTTGTCAGGAAAGGCATGCGAAAAAAAAAACCTCGTCCAACAGACAATCGCATCCAGGTGATGATGCGTAGTCACAGTCAGGTCCTTGCAAACTATCAGCAGGTATGCCGCGCTTTGGTTTTGAGACCTTGTATGCTCCGCCACAGTTAGATCATTGCGTGTCTTGGGAAGGTCGCCAGTTTGTCGCTCATTTTGCTAACCAGAGAAACAGTGGAGTCTTGACCATTCTGATTTCTGCTTTTCCTTTTTACAGTACGACATGGTCACTCACGCTGACCCTGATGCTACTGTTCACATGTTGGACTCACCCGAAAATTTTCATTCAATGTTGGCTCATTTTTTGCGATGTGTGAACCCTTGGCATCTCAACTATGGAACCTCCGATCATGTGAACTATATTGAGTACTGACATTTACTGAGCTCAACATAGTTCAACTTCGCGCCGCGGAGTTGCATTTAAACAGAGGCAAACGGTAAACTGTCAAAAGTCTCACGGACATGACGAATGACGCAATTTGTGATACGAGAGTGGCTGGAGGACATATTAGGTTCCTTTGCCAGCACCACCACAGCCTTCAATCAAGTTCACCATTTGCATGGCCGCCCTTTTGGTACGCTGCTAGGATTGTGAGATAGGATACGATAGGGTATCATAATCTTTGGAACTTGAATTGACTTGATTCATGACAAGGCTCATGACATAAAACTGAAAACAAATTATATACAGTACATTCAGTTGCGGTCGACATACCGTAAAACTAGCTACATTCCCCAGGACACGGAACGCTGTTTGTTTTGGGTCTCAGATTGGGGTTTGCTTGGCTTTTTGGCACGGGTGGTGGTTTTTTGCGCTTGGGCCTACACTTTGGGGCGTGCTTTCCTTTCTGGAACTGCTGGTGGTGGTGGTGGTGCTGGTGGTGCTGGTGCTGGTGAAGTTTGTCCAACGCGTTAGCTTGGGCTGGGTGCGCTGTGGCTTTTGCTCCTGCGAACTTTGATTCACCGCGTTTTCTTCTGGGCGGCCCGGGGGTGAATTGTTTTTTCTTTTTTGGCCTGATTGGTTTCCATGGCTCAGTAAGGCTGGAAATGATTTTATTGCATTTTGCATCTTTTCCGCTGAATGATACACCAAAACCGGCTGGTACTGTTTTTTCTTCGTTGGCTCATTGAACCATATTTTTTTGGTTCTAGTATATTTGACATGGCTCTTGATATGATTGGCCGATTGATTTATCAAATCAAAGAGGTATTTTTATGCCCGAGGCGCTTGTTTCCACACACGAGATTCCCAAGTTTAGCAAGGCAACATGTTGGCATGTTATGGATGCACATATCCCATACCATAACTCATGAGTACTGTCATTTCCATATACCCACAATAGGGACGCACTGGTAAGCTGAAATCAGTTAGACTCAGCACTTAAGGGCATTTTAGTGTTGTGTTGCTATTTTCCCTTTAGCTAGCCTGTGCTAACTCATCATCATATTTCCCTCGCTAACCCCCCTCAATATAACGCATGTTTTTTTTAAAAAAAAATATTTCCTGGAACTTTGCAAATAGTTCCTGGGAATCTGCAAATAGTTCCTGGGTCCAAACACCAGAAAACAGAAAGGCCCAAATAAAGAGGCCAACGCCGATAGTAATCTATATATACATTAATATAAATATATATATATACATGACATATTTTTATATATATATATACACATTGTATATATATATGATATGATATATGCGTACATGTTTTTATGAACATTAATGTATGTCGTATAATGTTGTGCATATACCTTATACCATTGAAGCTGGCCATTTTCCATGCTTATTGGTGTTGCCCTGCCTTCTCGCCGGTGAGGATGTGCGTACCAAGCTTCACCTTTCCAAAGGTTCCCTCTCCGATGGTTTTTCCAAGGATGTAGTGACCTGCACTGGTGAGCCTTCGGGATCCACTTAACGTAGGCATGTCATGTGGTGTTCGTCTTGGGTTCGCTTTGTTGTCTCATCTAGAGGTTCATGCTCAGGTCAGGGCCTATTGACTTGGAGCGCATTCCTCGAGGTGTGGCCATGTCTCCTGAGACCAGGCAACTGATGTAGCCCTTCACATGTCTTGTATCTAGTGTCTCGCACCAATTCAGTCAACATATCCAGACAGGTTCTGTTTGGTTCAAAACCTCGCTGTGAGTTTTTGAAGTCCAGTCGGTTCCCTGCGAGCCAGGCGGAGCCAGCCGCAAGCCGCAGATGCGTTCCACGCGAAGGCGCTGTGCTCTGATTGACTGGGCTGGTTTTGTTAGGGCTGAGCAGCTGATTCTGCTACGCAAATTCAAAAACGGTAGGAGTTGCAAGGCTGAGGGGTGGTATGGGTACTAAGGTACTATCTGATTTTCTTGAAGAACATGGACCCTACATGGCAAGGTTTTGGCATCGTGGTAGACTGAGGCTGAAGGGAATGGTTTGAAGTTTGAAGCACCGCTGCCTGCTTGCTGATTGTTCCATCTTTCTACCATGAGCTGAAGGCGGCGGCTGCGGATGACAAAATGGAGATCTCGAAAAGAAATAAGAAGGGTAAGCGGTGCGCAAGTTAAGTCGGCTTGGCTCCAACTTGCTTCTACAGAATCCTGGTCATTTTCTTCTTGTCCTTAGTCAATCTTTACCATTTTTTCCCTCACTGAAAAGGAACAAAAAATCGTAGAGAATCACGTTGTAATAACAACCATCGCTTTCATTATATCTAACAGTCCCACTGCAGGCACAGGTAAGATGGACTTTCCTAATTTTGACATCAAAGCGATCGTTGCAGCGTTTCGGCGATGGCAAAGATCCTTTGCAAAGACACCCTGTTCTCGGTGCAATCGACAAATGGCTACGCCATCACTGCGAGGACCTGTAAACCACCACGAAGATCAAGATGACCGCCAGCACGGCTGCGAGCAACAGGAGCCAGTAGATGAATTTGGAGCCACGCCTCAAGAATTCTGCCACATCCCACTGGGTCATCCAGAAGGAACCACACATAAAAACAATCATGAACCATGATTAAGACAGCATATATACACTACATAATATGCATAATGTATACAAATGAGCCGTCAATTGTTTACGCGTGTTGCGAAAATATTGGTTGTCGTTTTTTTGGGGACGATCGCTTTACTGTGTTTTGTTCAAATTAACACTAAATAATACAAAAATGCAGCGGAATTGCCTTTCATCAAAGACTTCCAAACTCAGCTTCATCAAAGGTCTCCAAAATCAGTTTTCTTTGCTTTTTTGTAAGAATCAAAAAAGATCAAAATGGCCTGTTTTTTTCTTGTCATGTATTTTGGAACAAGATGCCAATGGGATCAAATGAGTCTATCCCTCGTCCGGGGTCCCTTTTGCAACAAAAGGTTATCGCTAGGTTATTGCTAAAGTTATCGCTAATTTAGAACGCCTTGATGATCAAGAAAGGAAAAGAAAGAAGAACGTGGAACAAAAAGGAAAATTCAAAAAATAGAAGGAAAAAGGAATGAAGGAACAAGAAAAGAAAACGAAGGAAGAAGAAAGGACAAATCAAATGATTTAATTCAGAATTAAATTCGGAAACGACACTTTAAAACAAATTTGATTTAATTCAGAATTCAATTGATAGGGCAGTCGCAAGAAACACGGGCGCGGTTAAATGTTCGTCAATTTTGCCCGCTGAAGGTACACAACAATACTTGCTTGGGTTACAGCAAGTTTAATGCACCAGCCGCGCCTCTGCGAGTGACTGGCCTGGGTGAGCTGCTCGCTGGCATTGGCCGTGTTTTGTGTTGAGCTGAGGAAGTCTCCCTCGATGCTGTCGAGAAGGTCTCCTTGCACCTGCCAGTCGGCCAGGTGGCGCCGGTTGAGGGGTTGAACCCAGCTGTAGAGCTAAAGAATTGGAGGAAAGTGGATGAAGGATGAGTAAAATCCCTGGTTCATAATTCAGGATGCAGGAAAAGTTACAAGGATCATCCATGTTTAGTCCTGTATATATGATATGTACTGGTAAAAATATGTGCGAAAGCTCATGGGTTTACTCTAAAATTCCCTTAAACCAGGCCAACAATCAGGAGACCCGGTTGACCGTTCCATCAGTCGACCATTCTGATTTGTCCCTCTGGTTCCTCTTGCCTTGGTGTGAAAAGAGAGGTCAGCCATTGCCTCATGCAGAAAGTCATCAAACGATCGCCAACGTTTGAAAGTGATCAAAATGATTGCATGGCCCCAAATTGGATAGGGTGAAAAAATTGGCCCAATGATTGCCATAGGGATCACAGTGTCACGCTGCGTTGCCACTCCCCTTGCTCCCCTTGGAATGGCCGCACCTGTTGAAGTCCTCTGACATCTTGTGCCAGTGTGGAGATCTGCGGTCCGGGCCGTGGTCTTACCATGATGGTCACCCAAGGCTTTGTGAAGTGACTATTGCAGTGACAATCTTTGCAGTGGCAATTCTTTGCACCATATTTGGGGATGATTCCCCAAATCCTAATCATCATTTAAGGGCGAGGTCGCAGCGAGGTCACTATAATATTTACCCAGGACGATAGATATCTGCCATAAACCCTAGTTATATATGTTAGTTATAAACCAACTTAGAAGACTGCGGGGCACCACCTAGAATTGGGCAAAATGCTGGTCATCATCCAATTCATCCAAAAGGTCAACGAATATCAGAAATTTAACAAGACATGACAAGACTTCTTAGACCCAAACCAAAACTTGTGAGAAGCTCTTACCTCAGAAATAGATATGATTCAAGACTATTCACCACTGAAATAGGATGGTTGAATACAAGCAAACACCAAATTCGCACGTGGCAGGATCCCTCAGAGATCTCAGAGATATTGTTCTTGAGCCAACCCGAACTTTTACGGGTCTAAAAAGCATAATTTGGAAAGGTGCACCATCAATAGAATAATCCTAATAATCCATATGTCTATACAGTAAATATATGTATACATAAATATATATATATATACAGATTCTATATATTCTATGTGTACTCATTGCTGGAATCATAGAAGAAAGCCACTTCTGAACTGCAAGGTTCATGATGAAAATGGTGATGACATTCTGATGCATAAGACCCTGCGCCAGGTTCTCTCAACAAATTCCCATTGAGTCAACTGGCTGTCCTGTCGATGGCAACTGTTGAAAACCTCTCCTGCTTTTCTTTCCCCATTCCACTCTTAACTGTGCTCCCGGCATCTTGCGCATACTCCTCCACAATGGCGGTGTGTACATCCAATTCAGCCTGTCCAAAGGGCGTCGGCCCACACTCGTAGAAGCTGGCGGATGGTGCCAGAGGGTGATAGTGCAAACAAGTGCCATCTATGGGAATGGAACAGAACAGGTCTATTTTTCGTGGAAAAAAAAAAGTATTTAAATGATTTCATTGGTGGATGTTGGTACTTCAACATCTGCAGTAGTCTGCGGCCTCCGAGACCAAGTCTGCAGTTGCTTGCAGCCGTCCCTGTCCAGCCTGAGCTCAGACCGAGCTAACTTCCAGGGGTCGAATCCCGATCGAAGTTGGGGTATCACCCACAAATTTGGGTCATGTTTGCTCCTTTCTACTCTGAAGCCATCCATTTTGGGGTCACATAAAGGGTTGACCCATACCCAGCTATGGGTCCCTAGCCTTCCCCCAAAGGTCTTTGGGCTCCTCGCAGGTAGAGAGCCCATCTCCAGATCTTCCGTGGGCCTGCCGTCAAGTTCACTCGCAAAGACCAAGTTTCATCCCAATTTTGGACACACATCATTTGTGACATGGTTAAATACATTATAAAACATGATCAAAAGATTAAATGATGATTAATAATGTAATCAAAGTCTAGTTTCGCTGTCAAGCCCTCTGACCAATCCCCATTTTGCAAAAAAAAACTGTGTTTTTTCCGGTTTTGCCATACAGCCCGTGCCATACGACGCATCCCCCTTTTTCCGGGCGTCGTTCCTCACACCTCTGAGGCGTCGTCGTTGGCATCTCTGCCAGCCTCTTCTCAGCCTGCTCGAAGACTTGGAAGCTCACCTGGGAGCGGTCGAAATGGGAGTCTTGAAATGGGAAACCCCTTGGGATCATCTAAGATGGGTCTCCGAAAATCCATGAAATGTTGATTTGTCTGAAAAAAATATGGTGAGAAAGAGATTCTAGATGATCATATTTTTTAGACAATCATAATTTTTAGAGTTCTGTCTGAAAAATAGGGTATCCCAAAATCCATTGGTTGATTTTCCCCATTCAATGGCTATTTGGGGGAATACACCACGTTCAGACACACCCTTATGGGAAAGCAATCTTTTTGGGCTAGCCGAGTTTTCCGAAACCTTCGTATTGCATCCATGGATTGCAAGGGTCATTGTAGAGGAGATCCAAGGGTTCTTGCCATCAAATTTGACGGTAAACCACTTCTGGGACATCATGAAGAAGAAAATGGGGATGTCATGGTTGGTGGAGCTTGTCATGGTCAATGTCCATGTCTGTTGTAGAGTTAGTGGATCTGTATTCAGGATCCATCCAACCCCCCTTCGTCCCCGTCGCCTGAAGATCGCGAATACCTTTGGTCAAGTTTTCACCTTGGCATCCACTCTGGGAAGGAATCCTATGTAATTACTGTTTGGATTGCGGGTTGATTTTCTCCTTCTCCCTCTGCAAAAGTCTTCACAGATCTCCCGCCACGACTTATGAGTCGTCAACAAGCAGAAATATATATATATATGTTAGAGAGACCTTTCTGTACTATTTGACGGCTGAAGATTCCTTCTGAATTTCCTTTAAGTTTAACTTTTATTCATTTTCTCAGGAGCTCTAAATTTTAATAAATAGAATAAATAAAATAAATATTTATTTTCTCAGCCAAATCTTCTCCACGCAGACCTCCAAAATAAAATAAAATAAATAAAATAATTAAAATAAATATTTATTGGATTTATTTTATTTATTTTATTTATTTTCTCCGGAGCTCCAAATTTTAAAAAATAAAATCAATAAAATAAATAAAATAAATATTTACTTTATTTATTTTATTTATTTTCTCAGAAGCTTCAAAATTTAATAAATAAAATAAATAAAATAAATATTTATTTTCTCGGCCAAATCTTCTCCACGCAGACCTCCAAAATAAAATAAATAAAATAAATAAAATACATATTTATTTTATTTATTTTATTTATTTTCGCAGGAGCTCCAAAATTTAATAAATAAAATAAATAAAATAAACATTTATTTTATTTATTTTCTCAGGAGCTCTAAATTTTAATAAATAAAATAAATAAAAAAAATATTTATTTTATTTCTTTTCCCAGGAGCTCTAAATCTTAATAAATAAAATAAATAAAATAAATATTTATTTTATTTATTTTATTTATTTTGTTTGTTTTATTTATTTTATCTATTTTATTTATTTTATCTATTTTATTTATTTTATTTATTTTATTTATTTTATTTATTTTATTTATTTTATTTATTTTATTTATTTTATTTATTTTATTTATTTTATTTATTTTATTGATTTTATTTATTTTATTTATTTTATTGATTTTATTGATTTTATTTATTTTATTTATTTTATTTATTTTATTTTGGAGGTCTGTGTGGAGAAGATTTGGCTGAGAAAATGAATATTTATTTTATTTATTTTATTTATTAAATTTTAAAGCTTCTGAGAAAATAAATAAAATAAATAAAATAAATATTTATTTTATTTATTTTATTTATTTTCTCAGGAGCTCTATTTTTTAAAAAATAAAATAAATAGAATGAATATTTATTTTATTTATTTTATTTATTTTCTCAGGAGCTCCAAATTTTAATAAATAAAATAAATATCTATCTTGTTTATTTTATTTATTTTATTTATTTTATTTTATTTATTTATTTTATTCATTTCATTTTGGAGGTCTGTGTGGAGAAGATTTGGCTGAGAAAATAAATATTTATTTTATTTATTTTATGTATTAAATTTTAAAGCTTCTGGGAAAATAAATAAAATAAATAAAATAAATAAAAATATTTTTTCTTTATTTATTTTATTTATTAAAATTTGGAGCTCCGGAGAAAATAAATAAAATAAATAAAATAAATATGTATTTTAATTATTTCCCCACCTGCCAGGTGAGGGTTGTTAGATTTTATGTCAGTTGCCTCCTCCTCCTCCTCCTGCTCCTCCTCCTCCGCCTCCTCCTGCCTCGTCCTCCTCTCCTCCTGCCTCCTGCCTCCTCCTCGTCCTCCTTGTCGTCCTTGTCGTCCTCGTCGTCCTCGTCCAACTGCGACCCGCGATCCACAGTGTTCGCTGCCGGACCTCAACCACGAGCATCCACGACCAGTGTTCCCTGCCGGACCTCAACCACGACCAGCCACGCCCAGTGTTCCCTGCCGGACCTCAACCACGACCATCCACGCCCAGTGTTCCCTGCCGGACCTCAACCACGACCATCCACGCCCAGTGTTCCCTGCCGGACCCCAACCACGACCATCCACGCCCAGTGTTCCCTGCCGGACCTCAACCGCGAGTATCCATGCCAAGTGTTCCCTGCCGGACCTCATGTAGGAAGATATGGGACAAAGAATGTGCAGAAGAAAGTTAGAAAGAATGTCAGAAAGAATGTCAGAAGATATGCCAGAAGATATGCCAGATAGAATGCCAGAAGATATGTCAGAATATATGCCAGAAGAAATGCCAGATAGAATGCCAGATAATATGCCAGAAGATATGCCAGATAGAATGCCAGAAGATTTGCCAGATAGAATGCCAGAAGATATGCCAGAGAAAATGCCAGAAGATATGCCAGATAGAATGCCAGATAGAAATGCCAGAAGATATGCCAGATAGAATGCCAGAAGATATGCCAGATAGAATGCCAGATAGAATGCCAGAAGATTTGCCAGATAAAATGCCAGAAAATATGCCAGAAGATATGCCAGATAGATATGTCAGAAGATATGCCAGAAGATATGCCAGAAGATATGCCAGAAGATATGTCAGAATATATGCCAGAAGATATGTCAGATAGAATGCCAGAAGATATGTCAGAATATATGCCAGAAGATATGTCAGATAGAATGCCAGAAGATATGTCAGAATATATGCCAGAAGATATGCCAGATAGAATGCAGAAGATATGCCAGAAGATATGCCAGATCATATGCCAGAAGATATGCCAGATAGAATGCCAAATAGAATGTCAGAAGATATGTCAGATAGAATGCCAGAAGATTTGCCAGTAAGAAAATGTATAAATATCATGGTGGGGATCACACGAAGTAAAGTAATTTATTTATTTTATTTATTTTATTTGTTTTATTTTGGAGGTCTGCGTGGAGAAGATTTGGCTGAGAAAATAAATATTTATTTTATTTATTAAAATTTGGAGCTCCTGAGAAAATAAATAAAATAAAGAAAATAAATATTTATTACTCTAAAAAAAAAAATGAACCCCAATTCATTCGTATATCTTCCAATTCATTCGTATATTTTCTCTCCAAAAAAAATCTGAACCACAATTCATGCGTATATCTTCCAATTCATTCGTATATCTTCCAGAAAAAAAATCTGAACCCCAATTCATTCGTATATCTTCCAATTCATTCGTATATCTTCGGATTTCAAAACCCTAATCCTCCAATACTAAATATAAAATAAATATTTATTATTGGAAAAAAATCTGAACCCCAATTCATTCGTATTTCTTCCAATTCATTCGGGTGGGGCAGACATTGCCACCTGCAGGAAAGCAAAGAAAAGCATTCACGTTACATTGCATGCGAGAAAAAATGCCTTGGCCCCTATGCTTTATAATGGCGCCGCCGTTTTGGGAGCGTGTCTAAAGAGAACTATTCTAACGAACATTGGAAATAGCTTCAAAGAGAAACTAGAAGGAAACTGATCTTTGCAAGCAAATTTCAGGAGGAACCGGAAAAGACAAGTTCAATTGGAATTTAAAATACTTTCGAAAAGGACATGTACAAAGGCTAGATAAGGGTACCGCCAGAATGAATATATGACTGCACACTTGAAGGAAAGCTTTGAATGAGGATATCGGATCTTTAGGCTAGATATTCGAAAGGCAATTTCAAGAGAAACTGAGAACAATGATAAAAGCTTGACAGGCACTTGCAAGAAGATGTTCCTCTCCTTTCACCTCACCATACCTCACCCCTCTGCTCGACCCTTCATTATAACCCCGCCCATCACCCCAACTTCACTTAACCCTCGCCGTTTTTTCATCTCTTTTGACTCCTCTCCACCCTTTCAGCCCCTAACATTCTTCTTGGAACAGGAACGAGAGGGAGAGAAGAGAAAGCAGCCGTGGAGAACTGAAAAAGGTAAGGGGTAGCGAATTCAAAACGGTGGGAAATGCAAACAATGTGAATAAATATGGATCGTTTTTGGTATCAAGTTTGTGCAACCTTCTCACCCTTCATTGAGCCCTTGCTGCCCTTGCTCGATCTTTGCTTCACCCTCGCTCCACCCTCACTCCATCCTGGCCGGACCATGGCTCCACTCGGATCCGCCCCGCCCCCTTTCCATTCACTTTACCACCTACCCATTTTTAGGCCTTTTCACCTAATTTTCAGCTTCTTCTCTGTAGGTGGAGATGGGGGAAGGCAAGAAGCTGTGGAAAAGCGGCGAGGCAAAGTGCAAAGAAAGAGAGGAAAAGCACAGGTGGACAGATATCAATGGGACACGCATGGGACACGCATTGGAACATACAGAAAAGCAATGAAAAGCAGACACTTTAATGTGGTAATACCAACAAGAAACCAGCACCAAAATCTTCATAATTGGATTGTATAAGCAATCCCCAAGTGTTAGGTTAAGTTCTTTGCCACGTTGCATTGCCTGCAAAGCAAAATGCATGGGCCCACCCTCTGCCTTTTAAAATGCGGCCGCCAATTTTGGATCATGTCTAAAGAGAATGATTCCAACGAACGGTGAAAAATAGCTTTAAAGAAACTAGAAGACACTATTATTGTGATGTTTGAAAGCAAATTTTAAATGGAACCGGAAAAAAGTTCAACTGAAATTCAAATGGTGTTGAAAGAAATTGCTAAATAGATAGAAGAGCAGTCGGGATGAACTGTTTATGTATGTATCGTATTTTCTTTCTCTCCACCCATCTGCCTTTCATTACACCCCACCGACCAACCCTTCATCGTGACCCTGCCCATCACCCCAACTTCATTTAACCCTCTCCGCTTTCCATGCATGCTCACTCCTCTTCACCCCTTTGTCCGCTAGCACCTTATCTTCAGAACAGGAATGAAGGTGTTGAGCGGAGGCAGAGATGGAAATGTGAAAGGGCCGAGAGCGGGAGAGAAGAGAAAAAGTTGCGGAGAAGTGAAAAGGCAAGGGAAGAAGCCCAAGAAGTGGATCAAGCAAAGAACGTACTCGTAATAAATATGCATCGTTTTTGTATCAATGTTTGGCAACCTTCTTCACCCTTCACTCCACCCTTCATTCCACCCTTCACTCCACCCTCGGCCCACCCTCGCTCCGCCATTACAGAAAAGCAATGAAAAGCATGCACTTTACACTGCCTGAGAGGCAAAGTGCCTTAGTCCATCCTATGTATGCTTTGTAATGGCACTGCTGCTTTTGGATCATGTCTAAAGAGAATTTCCCACAGAAAGTAGACAGACTTTTCATTTTGTTCGACAATCTCAACTGAACTTCAAAGTAGGTTTTGAAAAAAAACGGCTAGATAGATAAGAACGCGGTCAGGATGAATTACTTGCATCTATGTAAGGTATATTTTCTTTTTCTCCATCCATTTGCCTTTCGCTACACCCCACCCCCCAACTCTTCATCGTGACCCGCCCATCACCCCAACTTCATTTAACTCTCTCCGCTTTCCATCCCTGCTCACTCCTCTCCACACTTTCTGCCCCTAACATTGTTTTCGGAAGAGGTATGATGATATTGAGCGGAGATGGAAATGTAGAAGGGTGAAAAGGGGGAGAGAAGAGAAAAAGCTGCGGAGAAGAGAAAAGGGAAGGAGAGAATTCCAAGCAGTGGATCACGCAAAGGATGTGAATAAATACAATAGATGTATCCTTTTATTTGGTATCAATTTATGGTCATTCTCCATGGTCACATTCTCCACACTCCACCCTTCATTCCACCATCGCTCCACCCTCGCTCCTCCAGCCTCGCATCACCCTAGCATCACCTTCACCCAACCTCTCCAACCATATCCATCCCTTCCACCTACCCTTCCACCAACACCTTTCCACCTACTTCACCCCCTTTCCGCGTCTTTCTCCTTTGTAGGTGGAGAGAGGGGAGGGCAAGAAGCTGTGGAGAAGCGGCGAGGCAAGGCGTAGAGAATCCCAAGAGGTGGGACAGACATTGGCACCTGCAGGAAAGCAATGAAAAGCAGACACTTTACATTGCGTGCGAGACAAAATGCCTAGGCCCGCCCTATGCTTCATAATGGCGCCGCCGTTTTGGGAGCGTGTCTAAAGAGAACTATTCCAACGAACATTGGAAATAGCTTCAAAGAGAAACCAGAAGGAAACTGATCTTTGCAAGCAAATTTCAGAAGGAACCGGAAAAGACAAGTTCAATTGGAATTTAAAATACTTTCGAAAAGGACATGTACAAAGGCTAGATAAGGGTACCGCCAGAATGAATATATGACAGCAAACTTGAAGGAAAGCCAAAGGAAATGCACCCATGAATTCGAAGAGCCATTGAAAAGGAGATGAGTAAGGAGATCGGATTTTAGACTAGCCTTTCCTATGGAATAGCAATTGAGGTCCTCAAGTCCTCAGAACTGAGATGGACATGTGAAAGGGTGGAGAGGCGGCAGATGAAATCAAAATTAGCCTTCGGACAGTTTTTGTAGGTGTTGTGATGGATTTTTTCCAAACCCCGTCATTCTATACATAAAGGTCCCCTCCACATATACATATATATATATATATATGCACCAGGCCCTGCCACCCCCCCCCCCCCCCCCCCTGTGGTGTGGTGGATGGGTCCCATATACTGGTCCCATATGAGATCTTCCCCTCCCCCCCTGTGGTGTGGTGGGGGTGTGGCACTGTCCCCCTCCCCCCCCTGTGGTGTGGTGGATGGGTCCCATATACTGGTCCCATATGAGATCTTCCCCCTCCCCCCCCTGTGGTGTGGTGGGGGTGTGGCACTGTCCCCCTCCCCCCCCTGTGGTGGGGGGGTATGGTGTGGTATGGTATGTGTCTGGTATGGTATGTTTGTATGCATGTTGGAAAGTATGGTATGTATGGTTACTATGATGGGTATGGAATATGTCCTATCTAAGGTAGGTATGGTATGTATGGCATGTATGCTATTGTATGTATGCTATTGTATGTATGGTAGGTGTGGTAATTACATTTCATATGTATGGTATGTATGGTATGTATGATAGATATGATAGGTATGGTATGCATGGCATCATTGACATGTATGGTAGGTACGGTATATGTTCAACAGAGGTAGTGTTGTCAGAGTACACAGGTAGTAAACAGGAAGTAGATACAGTAGATACATAGCACATGTATGTATGACTATAGGTAGCACGTAGGTACTTTGAAGGAGTATGTGTGCTACGTAGGTCGCCTAAAAGGTAGCATGTACCTAGTAAATGCGAGGCTGGTAGTCAGAAATGCTGCAAAGACCTAGCAAATACGACGCTGGACCTCAGAAATGCTGCCAATAGCTTGCAAATAGAAGGGAATTGGGGCTACTACCTGGGGACCCAACCCATGGGGGGGGGTGGAGAGACGGAGGACGGGACCATATATATACATATATATATATACATATATATATATACATATATATATATATACAAGTATATACATACAGTATGTACTGTTTCCGGTGGCAATAGGATCTTCCGAACAATCGTAGGGAACGGCTCAGATTGCATTTCAGAGGTGGTGTCTACCAAAGCTGACTTTTTGTGGTCTGACACACCAACTGCCAAGACACTGAGTTTTTGCTGCATCAAGCTGCGATTCCTCTGCTCGCCGAAAGTATCCCCACCGTTGTAGCTAAGCTGGCGACAGCCGCGGCCAGGCGGTTTCAGACATTGATTCTTGACAGTTTGGAAAGGAAAATGCCAATGGATTGGCTTCAGGGAATATCCATAAGGAACCTTGGTTTTACCATCTAAATATGGGTGGTTCCTGTAATTTGTCTCATTGAGAATTTCCAAGAAAATTGTTCGCAAACACAAAGGTGAACGAAAAGCTCAAAATACAGCATGTCAACCCCGGATTTGTCATTCCCTGGGCTTTTTCATTGGGCTCTATCCTATTTAATGATCATCTAGGGTCAAATCAAGGAAAAGGCGTGAAAATCCTTGAAAACATCATGTTTCTTGGTCAACTGGTATCATATCCCATGGCTAAAGGCACCTTGCCCGGCCTTCTCTAGCCGTCGTTTCGCGTCTTGCACCGCCTGGTTTCCAGTGTGAAGGGTCGCTTCCACCTGACTCAACGGAGTCACTGCTGGATCAATTTCTCTGAAAATGTTCAGGAAAAATACCTAAATGTCCTAAATCTACTGGTTAATCATCACGTTTCCCATTAACATCAACATTTCGGGCCATCACACATGACACTCCTATGTTGTACCATCATTTCTGGTGGTTTGCTGAAGGTATGCTGAAGATGTTTACTTGCAGCAAGTGCGGGCTCCGTCCCTTACCTTCTTTCGCGCTGCGGCAGAAGTTGAAGGTGCCAAGAGGTTGGCCTTCCATCATTTTTTGAAGAATATGATCAGTCTGTGTGGAAGGAAAGATGTAAAGTCCAGTTCCATCTATTAGTCCAGTTCCATCTATTCTCGCTGCTGATTTTTGCATCTCCTGTTGCTGTTGAGCTTTCCTTCGCATTTAGATCGACTCGACCAACTCCGCAAAGTCTGCCTCTTTCCGGATTTCAGCAGTGCACTGCTGGATCCTCTTCACAGCCTCACACGGCAAAATTCCCTGGTTCCCTGTGGCTTTTGCTGAGGGGCTCTGTGCACAGTCACGCACACACAGCTGCTTCCAAACGAGGTATCCATCCTAACACTTGTGTAGTGCATCAGGCTTTCTATTATGGGGATTCAACCAACGCCCTCCAGCTCGGTGACCCCAATGATAGATGGTTAAGATCCCCAACCTGCAACTTGGAAGCCAAAGTGCCTCGGAGACAAACATGGAATCTTGGACGTAGACGGAATCGCCATCCCTCGACCTTTCTGAAAAGGAGCTCGCTTGGCAGGACCAGTTGAGATTGTGGAAATCCAGCATATAAATCTATGGTATGCATAAGATAGAGACTATCTATATTATATATATATACGTACATATATATATATATGTGTGTGTGTGGTATATTCTATATATATATATATAGTCATATAGATCATATAGTTGATACACAGATATTGACGTGACATGTATTCCGGAGCAGTCGACCGAAATGGATGGCACCTCGACCGGGACGAAGCCGAAGCCGCAGAAGCCGACGCCTCGACCCGGTCGGTTCCGAGGAGCTTCCAGTGGCATTTTACGGAAACGATCTTGGAGTAAAACGTGTTTTTATGGAACGTGATTTGGCGATTTATGGCAATTTATGGCGATTTATGGTGAATCCATTTCCTACCATGGTGATTTCTGTGACTATCTATGTGGCGGTGCTTGGAACTGGCTCTGCGATGGATCCAAGCTGGTTGGCTATTCGGTTGGGGTCATCATCCCATGGAAAATCTGGAAAATAAAACATAGTTCAAACTGTTCAAACCAGCAACCCTGCCTGGCCAGCGTAAGACATGGGAAACACAAAGAGGTGCGGCAGATCACATCAACTCCGTTTGGCCAGTCGCACAGCCATCAGGGTGAGTTGTGTTTCCTAAAAACCGATGGATACACAATAACCAAGCTAGTCACTGCTAGTCAGGGTGTTTATTGTTTACCCTTCTCAACAGTTGCAACTAACCGAAGTGACCCTCTATCAACCTACGTGGCTACTTGGCTACCTGAAAACATCAGGAAGTTGAACTTGAAAAGCATTTTCATTTCTGACGGGGTGCAATGTTTGCACAAGTCCACAACGGGCCCTCCATACTCCAAAAATTCCAAAATGCTGTCGTTGGACAATTGTCATGACTTGACATAGCTGGGAAGGTCTTGCTGGTCTGGAATCTCTCTCTCTCGAGCTGCAAGATCACAAGGCAATTCGAACAGACCTCCAATGACAGAGGTGAGTTCGTTTGCCAGAAGGCAATGTTGCACCTTTGAAAATCGACCTGCCTGCTGTCACCAGCATTGTCTCTAAATGCGCCTGCCGTTATGAATAATTAAGCGAGATAAGCATGGAACACAGCAACAAAAGAAACCATGACTGCACTATTTCCAACAGGACCAGTGACCAATGGCAGCACTTTTGTCAAGCCATGAGTGCTGGGCGCTGGTGGAAAACTGGCAACTTTGCACCAGCGAGGACCAGGTAGGCCGAGCATTATCCGAGAATCGAAGACCAGGGCGAGGGCCCAGTGCCGTAACTCTCAACAGCTTGGAAAACGCTGAAAGCTACGGGTGAGACGCACAGGGTAGAACCGGGTCCCTGGGTGTTCCTGAAGAGAGACCTCAATAACGGGATGCGTCCATTAACATATTTTAGGTTTTGAAAGCACCCAGAGACCCATTCACAAAGGCAAGAAAGGCTAGCGCAGCAGAGCTGCCATGATTTCGGTTAGCCTTTCTTGGATGCCAATGGCCAAAGTGGAGCCTAGGATCAGGTAAATACCTTTGAAAAGACTCCCCCGTGTAAACCCCACCAAGCCATGTTGAGACCAAATCTCATAGGCCGTGGATCGAAAACTGGGATATCGCTCAGGGTCAACCTGTCGAAGAAAGCAGCGACTGTCAGACCAGAAACTGGGGATGCCACCGGGTGCAATTTGTCTGTTTCAGGTGGGTTGTTGCAAATCTAAGCAGCCAAATTTCTGTAATCTACTCGTCACAGTCTTCTTCATGTTGGAAACAGCGTGAAAGAGGTTCTCCGCCGCCGAGCCACCTGCATCTTTGTCTTGATATTGTCCCCTGCCATGTTGAAGAAAGTGAGGTAGGTGCCTCAAAGCGACAGCGGCGAGGATTAGCGCTCAGAACTGAAACTTGCGTGCCCAAATTGTCAATGGGTACGTGATGTGGGTCATGCTATATTATGCTATGTTATGCTACAATATATGTTCTGCAACGCTGTGCTATGCTACAGTATGCTATGCTGCGCTCTGCTCTGTGCTGCGCTGCTCTGCTCTGCTGTGCTTTGCTGTGCTATGCTATGCCATGCTATGTATTGTGTATGTGTGTGTGTATGTAAATGTATAATGTAATCACATCTGAAAACAACAAAACAAAAACATTAATGCTGGACAAATGGTGCCAAGAAAGGACTGGTGCCAATCTTCAGATCCAGTTTTTCCATTTTTGATAGCAGTGGAATGCTGCAAAGGTGCCAAGCGTGGCTGCCTCAAAGGTCAAGACATTGGCTTGGTTCTTCTTCTCCAAACCTGTGGCTCAGGTGCAAAGCAAATCCCCAAATGGCTTAAATCAAACTTCAAATCAGGTTGTAAGTATGGGCGTGTCTGAAAATGAAGGATACCCCACTATATCCCGATATGAGAAAATCAACCGGGAAAATGACTATTCACCTAATGGATTTGGGGATATCCCAAATATTGATTTCCAGGGTCTGGTCTGGGAATCTCGCTGAGGGGGCACATGAAAGCCATGCAAGGTCCTCAACCCTCAGGTGAAAGCGAATGCTACACCAGACCCGCCTCCCACCACTTCTCTTGAACTTCCAATCGAATTGCTACAGCGATATAACTGATATACCCTCTGGTAATTTAACATAGCTATTGAAAATGGCCATAGAAATAGTGGATTTTCCCATTAAAAATGGTGATTTTCCATAGCTATGTTAAATTACCAGAGGGTAACCAACTCCAATATCCCAACATCTGATGGTATCAAGGGCCTAACGTTTTAGGTCTCCCCGGTCTCCGGGTTTCCAGACTTCGCAGCCAATCCAGGTGCGTTTTGAACCACTCGGGCGCAGTCTCCGGCGTCTTATCCACCGCATTGTGCAGGAGGCGCTTCCACTCAAAGAATGTCAAGTTCCAGGAGAAGTTCCGAACCTCACTGGTTCCATTGAGCTAAGAAAAGATCATTCAACAAGAAAGATTTATGGAACTAGTTGATCAATAACAGCTTACATGGGTTGGATGCTTATGTGAAGACCGTCCCAGCACAGCTACAATAAAGAAGTCCAGGGAAGCTTGAAAACATCAAAACCAACACGTCCAAGTTCCCATGCCAGGGAACCCAAAGCCCACCAGCACCAGCCCAGGCCCCGAAGAGAGCGTTACCTCGAGCCTGGTCGGAAGTTGCAAATGGACAGGGTCGTAGTCATGACGAATGGCGTACAGTGGGTGATATAGTTTAAAACTGTGAAGGTGATGGCAAGTTGATAGGTGTATTTCTGGGAGGAAGAAACGGAAATGGAGATCTAACCCACAGTTGATGCTTATCAGAGTACTTTTGGACATGGGACTAGAGGCTACAGCCTTCAACAAATCATCAACAAAGGCATTGTTTTGCAATTGCAAGCATAGTCGTCAGCTAGATCCCAAAGATTCCATGGCTGCTATGAAGGTCTGCCGTCTTCGCAGCTCTCTCCAAACAGTGCCTGTCTGGCGATTTCAAAGGAGTCCCGATAGGATGTGATCTGCTTAAGACCTCCAGTGCTCTCGGTGGGTGTCTCAAGAGCATGCACTGTATCTGGAAGGAAAGACTTCTGGTGATGTTGCTCCACAAGCATTCAGAACAGCAAGATTCCAAAGGCTGCCATGCAATTCCAAGTGAAAACTTCCAAGAACCCAAATCTTGCTGCTAGTGTAGGCTGAAGCGAAAGAACCTTGACCAAAGCCTTTACATGTTCACAGTGACACGTTGCAACCCATGGATGTCCGTCCATCCAGCCCCGACTTATCAGTGAATAAGCCGCAAACCATACCTGTAATTTTCAGAAAATTAGATATATGATATATGCACATACCATCTGGTTATGACTAACATAGCCATGGAAAATCACCATTTTTAATAGGTAAACCATCTATAAATGGGCCATTTCCCATGGCTATGCTAAATAACCAGAGGGTAAATACATATGTATCCCATAAACAACCACAGTTTCTTCACTGGCTGCACCACATCCTCCATCAATCCCATACGGTACATCTGTGTTCATAATCCATCTCTATACGCATGATTATCCATTATTATCCACTATTATCCACAAGTATCCCTGTTTATCCATGTCTATCCATTGTTAGCCATTATTCTCTATGTCTATATATCCCCATTCATCTCTAGAATTACGGTACTATTTATTATCACTATATCACTATTGTCAATTCTCCGAGAACATGATTATAGATCATGATCATCTATGATCATGCTACTATTATCTATATGTCACTCCAAATCTGATCCACGTCCCCATCAATCTTGCCATCCCAGGCATCCCCAGGCCAGGGCACCCATGTGCACCCCGAAGCGTTCGCTCCATCCGGTCATGGCCACCTCCCCAGCCGTGGACAGCGCCACGGCCAGCGCCAGGCCACCGTGACCGCCCAGCGGCCGGAGCTCCTGGTAGAGCGCCATGGCCAGCGGCACCTGGCGGATGGATGGAGATATGATATATGGATATCAAGTTTCAATCATCTATATCATAAATATCATATATATATATATCATATATACATATATATATCATATATATATATCATATATCATCTACATCATAAGTATCATACATATATATATATCATATATATATATACATATCATCTATATCATAAATATCATATATATATATATATTTACATATCATCTATATCATAAATATCATATATATATATCATATATACATATATATATATCACATATATATATATATATCTCATATATCATCTACATCATAAGTATCATACATATATATATATATCATATTCATATATATATATCATATATATATCATATATATATATCATATATATAGCATATATATATATCATATATATATATATCATATATATATATCATATATATATATCATATATATAAATATCATACATATATCATATATATCTATACATCATATATATATATATCATATACATCATATCTATACATCATATATATATATCATATACAACATAAATATCATATATATATATACATATCATATATATATATATGAGCAGGGACCCCCACACACACACCCCACCCAGCCAGATGGTTCCCCCCCCCCCTGTGGCAGGGGAGGGGGGGTTTTCTCAGCAGCCAAGCCATGGTGTATGTAGTCTTTATAGTGCATATAATGCATATGTATCGATAATTAGAATGGATATACTATATGTAATATAGAGTGTATGTGTAGTGTATATATATATATGTATATATATATGCATATATATATACGTGTACAGTATATACACTGTAAACGAAATATGTGATAGATACAAGATCAAGATATCAATCTGTAGTATCTAGAATGTGCATATATATATATGTATTTATTGTTTTTCTACTGTACATATGTCTAGGTTTGCATAGGTAAGCTTTGCGTAATCCATAGGTAGCAAATATGTTGTAAACCATGTGCGAGGCACACTATAGGCGGTTCGAAAAAAAGGTTATGATAGAAATATACAGGTAGACAAGGTCCGTTGACGAGGTCGTGGCTCTCAAGTGCTGCAAATAACGTAGAGATGCGAGGTTGGAGGGGTTGAAAGGGGGGTATATATGTGTATATGTGTATGTATATGTGCAAATAACATGCAAATACTAGGTTTTGGGGGTGGGGGGGGGGTTAGGTAGTCGGGGGGGGGATAACCATTGGGGGGGGGGGGGGGGGTGTGGGGGTCCTGAGGACCGGTCTCATAGGATATTAACAATAATATAGTCATATAATTAATGTGTAACTAATAATACATATTATGTATTATTATATTAATGTATATACATTAATTAATTATGTAATCAATAATATAATGGGGACGTTTCTCTAGATAAATTATATATTAATATATGGATATTTTGAATATTCATAATATGAATTAGTATATCAATATGAGTACATTATTATCATATATATATATATCATATATATATATATCATATATCTCATATATCATATATTTCATATATCTCATATCATATATGTATATATATATCATATATATATATCATAAATATATATCATATATATCATATATCATAGATATCATACATATCATATATATATATCATATATATATATCATATATATATATATCATATATATATATATATCATATATATATATCATATATATATATATTTATATATATATATCATATATATATATATATCATATATATATATATCACATATATCATATATATCATATATATCACATATCATATATATCATATATATCATATATATCATATATATCATATATATCATATATATCATATATATCATATATATCATATATATCATATATATATATATATCATATATATCTATATATCATATATATCATTTATATATCATATATATCATATATATATATATCATATATATCATATATATCATATATATATATATATCATATATATCATATATATCATATATATCATATATATATATTGTCAGATTGACACTGGTAGCTTGTTCACTTCCAATCCTAATCCCAGTTGGAACCCTGTCCAGCAATGCAAACTCCTGTTTTGCCCAATGCGAAGCCACGACCTGCAATCAGTCCAACGCACCCACAGCTGGCCACAGTTGTCTCCGCTAAGCGTCACTGATAGCGCTATTGCTCAAGCTAATCCCTCCCTCCAGCCCAGAGGCTGCGGCAACAACTGGTTTCTGGAAGAACCCCCTGGTTCCATGAGGGAATGACCTCAAGCACATGTGAACTGGCCTGGCTTTCACATTCGTACTATCAAAATTTTGTTCATCATGTGCACATTCCAGATACGCTTCGGTGATCAGGATGGTGAAGACAATCACGGACATGATGTTGGAAAAATACCCAGTTGATTACGCATTGAAGACAATGTCAACCTCATCACTGGTAGTTGTCTCCTGTGAGGCAGAGACCATGCTTGCATCATCGAAAGATCTAATTGGGTTTTCAGAACTTCAATCGGATAGCGCATGGACGGCTTGGCTTTTCCACAAACTACCGATGCTCTGAACTTTCGGGATTGAGAGCTTGAAGCCATTTGATTCTGGTTCTTGCATCTGATCTAGCCTTGAGTATTTCATGCTCGTCATGCAAACTGTAGTGACCTTGCTGTAAGCATGTCCTAAGCATGGTATTGTCCATGACTTTTGTCAACGCATCAGCTACTTGAGCGGCTGATGGAACCCATCGGATCTGAATGCCATTTTGGATATGCTCTCGAATCAGCTTGGCTTGAAGTTGAGTACGAAATTCAGTGCAAGTTGGGGGAGCATTACGGTTGATTAAGTCAAAGAGTGATTTACAATCAGTGGTAATGAAATCAGAACGTTCCTTGGGAATATCATTGAGGATTCTTTTGGCAACTTCAGGCATCGGCTGTTTCTCAGGCAGTTCTGGTGTCAACCAATCACAGCGATGATCACATATCCATGCCCAGAAAAGGCGCACCCAAGAAAGCATATCCACTGCTCCTGCCAGAGCCATTGCTTCGGCAGACAACGTGCTGACTGCTACCTTCTGGATTTTCTTAGAATGCCATACCATTGGATTGATTGGACTGCGTCTATTTTCACCAATGCACTTGTGAGCAGACATGATCATCATTCCCTGATGTGAGTCAGGGCATTTCTCTGACGCAAAGGAGGCATCGGAAAAAGCAACAAACCGCAAATCAGGAACTGGTATGGATTGTATTCGAAGGGCCACATTGGAATGTTGTTTTGCTTCATGGAGGGTTCGATTTGCTTCAACCAATGTGGACACTTTTGCTTTGTTGATTTGGCTTTGAAGCCAACCCAGTCGGCTGCATATGTCAGGTCTCGTGTTTACAGCTGCATACTGTAGGCTCCCTATCAGAGCTCGCAACGCTTGTCGTTCCTCTTCTGTGACGACACTGTCTGGTTGACACCTTCGATCATGAGAGATGGAAATTGCATGAATATCCCGAACATACTGTGACTGGTTCACTGTGATAGTGTAATCAGCTTCTTGCGTGACATGTAAACCAGTGAACACAAATTTGCGCATCTTACGGGATCCAAAAGGAAACTTGGCTTCCAGTTGTTTGAGCTTGTTCTGAAAAGTTTCATTCCCACAACACAACCCATCATCAACATGAACACCAATCAGACCTTGTGTCTCCTGGGTTTTGGGGTCACTCAGATGGAACAGGCACGGATCAAACGGTGATGCTTGGAATCCCAGCTCCTCTAGGGTCTTCTTCAGTTCAACAAACCAGAGATATGGTGCGTCAACACGCCCATAGGCACCTTTGAGAAGTTGCACCACTTCATCTTGACGGAGCTTGAGTTTCTGTCGCATCTCTTCTGGTGGTTCCATGCCTAAAACGCGATTGCTCTGCTCGCTGCCTCGTAAAAATGCAGTCTGTACATCGAAGCTTTGGATATCCCATTTTCGGCTGGCACAGTACTGAAGGAGAAGCATCCGGGTCAGTTTATTCATTGTCGGACTATCACGGGGAATTTCTGATACTTCAGGATCTTCAAAACCAAGCACAACTAGTCTAGCCTTCGGTTTCATTTTCTGGGATTGTTGGGGTTGATCAGCTGTGGGATCAACTTCTTTCCAAGTTAAAATCCATCGGCTTCGGAGAATGTTGGCTTTTGGGATCTGATTACGCATGATTTTTGTGATAGTCTCGGTACTGATCCAGCTTTCCACTTCTTTCATCTTGGCCTGCCGGAAACGCTCGCGATCTTCAGCTGTGAGATCTGACAATTTCTCCTCACTGCGCTGTCGTTTTGCTGCTGAAACAAGGAAAGCCATTTCCTGTGGTTTTGTTTCCTCACGCCAGCGGGTGATGTCTTGAGCACAAATGGGAATCTCTAATTTCCAGCATTGATCATTATCAACTTGGAAAACATGATCGGCTTCCACAAAGAGTTCATCATCCGTATCTGGAATTGGCACTTCCACTGGATTGGGTGGCTGTTCAACATTTTCGGAGGGATCCTGGTTGTTGGGAACTGGTTCACCATCAGGTTGTTCAGAGTTACTGTCACTTATTGGGATTACTGAAACGTTAGGGTTATCTTCATTGGGGATTATTGGAATCTGATTCACATCTTGATTATTGGCAGTGTTAGTTGAACTTGGTGCTTCATTGGGAATTAAATTGTGATATTGTACTCCGCCATGTGGTGGGATAATGCTTTGATTTGGTGACGTGGACCGTGGAGAATCACCTGATTGATTTTCATTGATTGTGGATCGGTGTTGCCACTCCTCAACTGCTGACAGCGGTCGGAGGTGTTCCGGAGCTACGCGATACAGCTTGCTGCCCATGGTGATCCACACAACATGTGAACTTTCTTGCAACACAACTCGAAGGGGACCTATCCAAGAGCCATCAGCTTCACCACGTTTTCGCCACATCATGACATGATCTCCCTGGACATACTTGCCCCGATTGGGTCTACTCCTTTGGACCAGGGCTCTTCTTAGGACCTGACAATTGTCAGTGGCAGTGAAGGCGCGACGCGCGCGTTCTCGCAGGGCCAGTTCCTCTCTAAATCGGAGACCTTCAGGACGATCATCAATGGCTAAACTGTGGGAAGGCAACTGCATATCTGAAACTACTGAACCGGCTACCCTACTTGACTTTCCAAACACAAGGACTTCTGGTGGATAACCCCTGTGACGGCTCCATTGATTTTTGGTTGCAGTGGCCAAAGCGGTTGCTTGGCTTACTTTTTCAAAGGAATCAAGTGGTTCTTCGGTGTCCATTTTGTTCAAAATGCTTTGCAGTACAGCTCCATGTCTCTCAATCCTGGAATTTTGCCAGTGTGCTTCTGTGGCAATGGTTCGATGTTTGATTGAGTACCGTTGCAAAAATGTCATGAAGTCATTGGAGTTCAGTTCTGTCCCTGCATCCATGCATAGTAGACCTGGAGGTCCGGCCCATTGAATCCACCCCTGGTGAAGCGCATGTATGGCCTGTTCAGCATCATGTGCACGAGTAACGACGGCAGTGTGATACAAGGTACTTTGATCCAACATGTGATAGATGTTATACTGTTGCCCCATCTTATTAGTCCATGTGATACCATCAATTGCAACAACATCTCCAAAATCCCCGTGGTCATGTATGGAACTTGAACGAGCTATCTTGGGATCTTGGTTCTCAGCACATGTTGAACATTTCAGGTCTCCGATGGCTTGGAGAATTTCACTGGGGCATCCCAGTTGTCGACAGAACTCTGTCAATTTCATAGCTCCCGGATGGCCCAGGTTTCGGTGAACTTTGAGAAGCCATGCCTGAGTTTCTGGCTTCAACATCATGAAACGTGGTCCATGTTTCTGAGAGGCTAGGTCAATGACATGACGATCTATTGATTCGGTCTTTTCTGGTTCGGAAACTCTTTGGGCCACATCCATTGGCTCATAAGTGCGCGGTCGCTTTGGTTCTGGTTCTGATCCTTCGAACTCAGCAGAGCGAACAGCACGGACGTCGGCAGAAGATTGAGACTGCACTGGAACATGTTCGGAAACAGGTATCTCTTGGCCTACAACTGTCTTGGCTTTGGCAAATATGGTCAGACTGACTCTGGCTGGCGTTCCCTTTCGACGCAAGCCTTTAAATGTCAGTTTCTCCCAGGGCTCCCATTCATCATCAACAACCACATCTTCATGCTTGCGACGGATGCAGATGCGTTTTCTTAGAGGAGCACTACCTGGTGGAACATTTCTGGTAGGGCCAGGATATCGGTCTGTGCCACGACAAAGGACCACATGTTTAATCTCATGTTCAGGACATAACATGGAAATCTCATGAATGATTTCTCCAGTGTCAATCACCAGTGGTCCAACACGTGGGGCCATTACATTGGCACGTCTCATCACTGTCTGCCAGCTGGCGTCAGCAAATCGCTGTGCAATGGCTTGTGGACTCAATTTTGACATGAGGCGTCTCTTCTTAGTTGGGTGTTCATTGTTATTTTCCTGAGAAGGTGAGTCATCCATTGCAAACACAGGCTTTTCCTTTGGAACTTCATAAAGCAAGATCTTGACTACCTGTCGAGCAAATTTGGCTGGATACTTCTCAGTAAAAGTGGACAATGACATACGCTTTCCCTCATGTTTAATGCTTCCTGCAATTTGTCGATTTTCGTGATCGGGATTGCACAGCTTTCCATGGATGGCTCGGGCCAACGGATCTGACGTTGTTGCTACGTTCAAACGCTTTCGGATGGGCATGGCTGATTCTGGATCGGTCAAGTTGCCCATGCGGCAGAGGTCAAAGCGGCAAAGCCTTGTGTGTTCACCAATTTCACTTAGTGGTTGGAGCTGCAACATCTTGGAACCATCCGGCTGTTCTAAGTGAAAATGCAGTGATCTCTGCACCTGAAATCGATACAGAACAATGGCTAAGCTGATCTGCCAGAGGCTTGCAAGACGTTTCTGAAGAATGTCATGCAACCCATGGAGTGATTCATTCCGCCACATAAGACCTATAGGCGGTTTCCACACAGAACCGTGTCCACGCACCCAGGGTCCACATTCAGGGCTGTACCACAGATTCTTGGGATTCTGGGTGGTCAACACTTGAAACATTCTTCGGCGTCCTGCAGCTGTTTGGAGGTCACCTTCTGCCAATCCGAATCTTTTGGAGCGACCACCAATGGACGACATTTGCTTTGTGAGTTCACTGTCACTGGAACACCTGACTTCAAACAAATCAAGTTGAGGAAGTCGAAACTTGTTCTTCTGATTTTGTTGAATCACTTGGTCAAGTTCAGATTGAAATTGTTTTACCATACGTTGGATTCGTCGGTGATAACTGTTGTTGGAAACATCAGGTGTGAAGTCAAAGTCTGTGTCCAGGGTCATGTTCAAATGCACCTCTTCTGCAAACATACCATGCCGGATCAGATCAGCCTCAGTTGCACTCAGAACTCTCAGTTCTCGGATTTCACCTGCATCTTCTTCATGTGCTCCAGCATCTCGTGCATCATCATCTCGACTTGTCCCATTCGATTGGACAGATGCTGGTTGCTCTGTCGTAGATCTTGCATCTCCTCCTGAATGAAGGGCAGGTGCATCAGGTCGGCTGGATCTGAGCCGTCCGTGGGCATGACATCTTCCCAAACCTCCTGTGGAACGGGAGGCATGCTCTTGTTCTCTTTCGGCTTGGGGCTCTGGTTGCTGGTTTTGGTCTTCACCTGGACATCCTTCAGGCGCAGACGGACATACTGCACAAACATCATGTGCTCTGGTTTGTCGCTCATCTCGAACCTGTTCAAAATGAACTCGGTCCATTGTGCGTCCTCGAACGCCTGAGCATAGGTCATACCCTTCTTTGACTCTCCGAAGGTGATCTTCTCGCTGGCTAACTCTTCCAGAGTCATGGCACTCACGACTTCTCGAGAGATCTGCTTCTTCTGCGACTTGTTGTACTCCTTGAGCTGCAAAGCCAGGGACGTCATGTTCCCCCGGTGTTGAGTCACGTTCTGCGTTGATCTTTGGACCACACACTGCTGAGTCAGTCGGACATGATGGTGACGGGCTCACCGGCAAGTGGGTTCTCAACACTGTTTCATGGCAACTGACTGAACTTTCAAGCGGAGATGATTGGTCTGTCAAGTTGAGCTCACTACCCCTAAGGCTTCCCTGCGGCTGTTTGACTGTCATTTTGGCACCACGGTCAATTTCAGTCTGAGCCATGCAAGAGGCCTCACCTGATTCACCAGAAAAACTATCATCCCAAAGTTGATTCAAATTCATTAAGAACAGATTCTTTGGAGATCTTTCAAGAGTGAGAAACTTTCGTAAGGCCTTACTCCACATGGTTCCCTCTTCAGTGTCAATCACAGCTTGAATCTGTTTCAAAAACGCACTTGACAGTAAAAAAGGTGTTGGACCTGGAACAACTGCAATTCGGAACCATCCCTTTTGGATCGGGAGCACAAGTGCATGTTGGCTCGTCAGCGTCTGATGATTACCAAATCGAAACACTAAGTGGCATGGTGCACGGTGTGCTTGCTTTCGGATCTGTTCGGGAAGACCCTGCAAAAGTTCTGTCACCTGATGGCTTCCAGTCACTGTCTGTGAAGCACCTAAATCAACAATGCCATGGGTACCTGATGACGCAAAGTGTATGTCATGTGAAATCACACTGGATGCCAGGTGATCTTTCGGATCATGCATGTGAGACGTCGAGGGACACTTTCCATCATGGGACTTTGGCTGCGCAGCATCACGGTGGTTGGCACGAATGCTCAGTTCATTCCTGAGGGCCATTCGGATGCGTGACATAACATGTGATTTAAATCCCCATTTCTTACCCTTATCATTATTCCAATTATTCCCAAGTTTGTTTCCCGTGATTACCCCAAAACATGCGGCTGCACAATCTGGCAAAGGCTCGGGAAATCTCATCTCAGGCAAATGGGAGATCTCGGGCGGGATCTCTGTTGGCACATCGTCGACGACCGCCATGGAAATCGGAACTGTTGATCCATCACTTGGAGGGCCAGTGGACGAGGCTGATTGACGAAGGCTACATTCGGCCTTCCAATGACCCTTTTTCCCGCACAGTCTGCACGTAGAATTAGCTATCCTCTGTGCTAGTGACTTTCCTTTTCCGCCTCCTTTTCCAAAACCTTTCTTGCCCCCACTTTTCCCTCCTTTTCTCACGGGCCAAAATCCTCTGAATTTGGCACGTTCTGTCAGGCGGCGACGTGCCTCCTGATATGAGGAAAAATAGGCAGCTAGGTCTGCATCACTCTGCACTGCTTCTGTCACTGCGTCCTCAAACTGTACCACCATAGCAGCATCTTCATCATTGTCATCGGCTAACTGTGCTAAGGTTTCATCATCCAGTGGATCATCAACAGTCCAATACGTGTCATGTTCTTCATCCTCTTCTACTTCATCAACATTGAAGGCCAAATGGTCATAGGTTTTCATGTTCTTTTCTCGTTTGGCACCCGTGTAGTCTTGAAAGAAAGATGAACCTAACATGCGTATGGCTGCTACGACCTTCTTCCATTCCAGTTTCTGTCCAATTTGTTCAGCTCCGGACTCCACCAACACGCGCTTTTTGTCTTCAGCTGAAAGGCGGCTGCCACGAAGCAAAACATACGATCGAATCTGATCCATGTCAACGTCCTTGGTCAAAAGCTCAGTCCAAACCACATCAACACGGGCGATGAAACTGTCACCTGTCTCGTCAGGCTTCTGCTGACATCGATACAAGGCCTTTTCCACCAACTCAAAACGATGCTCAAGGGGAATCTGTCCCCAGGTGCCCCCAACCAATTCCACCAGTTTCTGAACCCCTTTACGGTCATTCACCAAGAGGTCCTTTTGATGCAAATGAAGCTTCTGGTAGGCTGATCCCTTTGTGTTGAGGATCAGTCGGGTGATGAGCTCCAGGATTTTGGTCTGGGGCCATGCTTCAAGCAGTAGGTGAACCTTGCTGGACCAAATGTCCACATTGTCACTTGCAGGATCAAACGAAGGCACTAACAGCGCAAGCTGATTCGAGATGGTTCCACCCCCATCAGTTCCAGCCTGTCCTCCAGATGATTCAGTCATGAATTCTGTGGCGCCTGATCGCCAGGTAGCTCCGCTACCAATGTCAGATTGACACTGGTAGCTTGTTCACTTCCAATCCTAATCCCAGTTGGAACCCTGTCCAGCAATGCAAACTCCTGTTTTCCCCAATGCGAAGCCACGACCTGCAATCAGTCCAACGCACCCACAGCTGGCCACAGCTGTATCCGCTAAGCGTCACTGATAGCGCTATTGCTCAAGCTAATCCCTCCCTCCAGCCCAGAGGCTGCGGCAACAACTGGTTTCTGGAAGAACCCCCTGGTTCCATGAGGGAATGACCTCAAGCACATGTGAACTGGCCTGGCTTTCACAATATATATCATATATATATATCATGTGAACAAATGGATCCTTGTTCTGGATGTAGTTACTGATTTGCGATACCTGTTATGCTGGTATTACCGGACACTGATACGGCATGGCAAGCGGAGCTCGGACTTTTCCTCGCGCGTGGACTTGAGCCAGTACGGCGTCCCGATGCACAATGGAGTATGTACATCACAAGTGTCCTAGCGTTTAGTTCCCTTTGACACCCCCCATGCCCGTGGTATTCTTCGAACCACGGACACGAGAGAGGGAACTTTGAATTATATTGTTTCTGCTACTTGAATTACGCCTATGTACATAAAACATGCCATTCGGCTCCCCCTTCCCCACATGCCCGACGGGAATAATGGTTCAGGGTTCGCCTACTCTCTGGCTGTCGATGCATCGGCGCTTCATCAAACTGTACAACGCGAATTATTGCTAGCTAACATCTACTTTTCTACGTTGGCTAAGCTTGCCACTCACCCGTCGGGAGAAATGGATCGCTTCGCTACCAAAGATTTACAATGCTAACTAACGAATTCACGTGCACATTGCAGAATTTCGTGCAGATTGGGAATATCAAAAGTCTTGAACCTAAGCGAATTAGTTTAATGCCTCGCTCAGAGTCCACTCAGTTGGTCTTTTCCTGATCATCTGTTCACAAAGACGATACACATCTTATAGTCCAGTGATCATTTTGACGGACAGAGGTAATAGGTTCACTGCTCACGGCGGACTTTCTTCCATTGAGGTGTTGTGGGAGTTTTCTCCCATCCTGCCGCACGTTTCGGAGCAGCTTTCGGCGATGAGGGCTTCGCAGGCGGTGCCTTTGATGGTTCATGGGATTTCGGCATAGCCTTAGCCTTTGGTGCGCTGGCCGATGAGGATGATGCTGAACCAGCGCCTTCAGGTTTCTGTGAAGGTTGTGCTGATGATTTGGCTGCGGTGGTAAACTTGGAAGCGGCAGTATGTCCGACCGCTTTGAATACTTCACTCACCACTTCGTCGCCAAGGGTTGGAGCCATCTTCGTTTTCATCTCGGTCTTTCCCCTCTGCGCCTCGGCCTCAGCCAGTTGAATAGCATAAGCCATCTTGCTGACAAAGTTTTGAGGTAAAGGAATGCCACATTGTTGGGCGGCAAAGAGCAACTCCACTCTCTGTTCTTTCTCCCTCAGACTCAGATATACCGAGAAAGCTGGGAGTTCGATGCAGTTGGGGAAGCCGTGGCTCCCGGAACGAAAGAATGTGTATGATTCATGTTCTGGAAAGGTTCCTTTCAGCAGTCGTCGAAGAAAGTTGCTGATGGTCACTCGCATCTCCTGCTTCCCTTGGGCATCAGCCTGCATTCGGTTCATTGGCATGAGGAAACCTAATGACTCGGGAGTGTACCCGGCGCGTACCAGAAATTCCATCATCTTTTCATAGATCTCCAAGGTCTTGATGACGGGCATCATCATGTTTCTTGGTCGTCCTGAGTACATCTTCTCTCCCTCTGACCATGAGTTCCTTTTCCCTTTCTCCTGAAAGAGTTCGTCCAACTCCAGCTCCGTCGGTCGCTTGAGGTTGCCATCCTGGTCTTCGCCTGTGTAGGGGCAGAAGTCGTCCAGGTCCAGCCGGACTCGCTTGGTTTCCGTCATCATCTCGTAGTACTCCTCTGGGGTCAGAGTGACCCTTTGCTTATAGTAGAGCCTGAACATTGTGATGACCTTTGACATGACAGCATTGTCATACAAGTGAGCCGCGGCCTCGGAGACGTCATTGTTGATAAGTCCGTCTTCCGGCATACCCTTGCTTCCGCTCTCAAGATTCTTAGTCCACGCTGGAAGTTTGGACGAAGGATCATCTTCAGGTTCGACGTCCATTTCATCGTCTTCTTCTTCAACGATTTCGTCGTCTTCCTGTTGAGCTTCCTCCTCCTGATCCATTTCCTCATCATCGCCTTCATTGTAGTCGACCTCGTCAGGATTGAAGCCATAGTCGTTGGACTCGGATACGTTTTCTTGTGCTTGGTTAACCGTATCCTTGAACAACGATTCTTCTTGTCGACGAACTTCTTCATCGATCTCTTTCTTTGTTGCCTCATCTTCATCGTCTTCAGGAGCTTGTAGCCGATATGGACGGATTCCACAACTTTCAAGTTCCGTCCAGCAGACTAGACACACGGCTAGCTTTGTCGGCGTCTCGTTGAGACAGTGAGGACAATGACGGCAACCTGACGTTTGCACCCTTTTGCGCTCGACTATATAGTCAATCAGCTTGATGCGGGCCAGGTATTGCTCTTGTCCACCAGGCTCGATGAGGTTGTTCTTGAACTGGTTGACGATGTTCATGGCATCCATGGCGATTTCGTCATATGGCTGGTCTTCGGCGTCGATGCATTGACTTGCAACCCTCAGGATGGACTCCTTGGTGGCTACCGTTCTTGATTTGATAGTTCCAGACCGGACTACCTGGTCGTCGCCCGACGGGACGAACAACCGGAGCCATGTCTTGTTGTATTGGTCCTTGGGGTCCTGAATCCATCCTCCTTTGATTGCCGAGAACGGGATGATCCTTGGTGAAACGATCTGTCCCGAGTCAGTTAGTCGACCGCCATATTCCACCATCAAGGTCTCGGTCGGGATGAACAAGCAAATGTAGTCACCCTTGCGCGTATCAACGCTCTTCGTGATGGTCCATGATCTATGATCCCATGGCACATACGGGTTGAAGAACGTGAACATCCGATGACCTTCTCCAAGACCTCCTGGAATTAACCCCTGCCTCCAAATGCTTCGGAGGTTGGTCTTCTTGGTGATGTGGAAACAGACCGGTAATGACAAAATGGTGTTGGGTGCGATTGGATGTGAAAGCAACGAGGACAGCAATGAAACGTCGTCTCTTGAAGATCCTTCTTTGTGCCCCGTAGGAGCACGGACCGCCACTGGGTAGAGCAGTAGACCTTCATCAGGAATGTGCGTGTCCGCTTCGACATTGTTGTCAATGCATGTCAGGCTGCGGCGATCAATGTCCTTGTTGATCCCAAATGCCAAGACTTGTTCACGCACACGACGTCCGTACCGGGCACAGTGGAACATGATCTTGAAGAGCAATTTCATGCGGTGGTTCGCCTCCTTGACATTCCATGCACTCTGATCATTTGCTCTTCCTTTTGGGGCAAGGAATACGTGTGGCCAGCGTGCATGCTCGTGCCTCCAAATGGACTCGCATTTGAGCACCTCCTCGATGGGCACCCAGCCGGCGTCATCACAGGACAGACTCTGCTGCTCTGATACCTTCCCCACGTTGTGCCGCAGGATCCTGTTTAGTGATGTACTCACCTTGTCCTCGT